AGCGTGGTGGCCAACGCGGCTCCCGGCGAGGTCGCCGCGGCGGCCAACGGGGCGAACGCGGTCGCCACCATCGGCGCCAACATCGGCGCCGCCAACGTGGCACCCGGCGGGGCCGGCCGGGCCGGCGCCGTGCGCGCCGTGCCCGCGGTTGCCACCGGGGCCGGCGCCGGCCACGGAGCGGCCGCGTCCCCCAACGGCGTCAACGCCCTGGTGGCCGGCGGGGTGAACCTGGTAGCCCCCGGCGTGACGGTGGCCGTGCCCAACGGGGTGATCCCGGTGCCCAGCGGGGTGATCCTGGCTCCCGTGGGGGTCCCGCTGGCCACGGGCGGCGCCGGCCCGGCGGCCTCGGGCGTGGCCGGCGCCGAGGGCCCGTTCAGTTGCCCGCTGTGCTGGAAGGTGTTCAAGAAGCCGAGCCACCTGGCGCAGCACCAGATCATCCACACGGGCGAGAAGCCGTTCGCCTGCGCCGCCTGCGGCCGCGCCTTCAACCGCCGCGAGAGCCTCACTCGCCACGTGAAGACCCACGCGGGCCCGCGGCGAGTGCCGTGCCCCGTGTGCGGCAAGGAGTTCCGCGACGCCGCGTACCTGCTGCGGCACCAGCTGAGCCACGGCCCCGCGCGGCCCGCGCACACCTGCGAGCAGTGCGGCAAAGCGTACGCCGCGCCACAGAGCCTGCTGAGACACCGCAGAGCGCACGGCGGCGCCGAGGGACACGGTGAGGGACACGGGGGGGGACAGAGGGACACGGGGGGGGGACGGGGGGACACGGGGACAGATGACGACCAGAACCTTTTTTTTTAATTGGAAACATACACAAACCCATATATTGCAATGATTTTATCTTTAAATTTTCCTTAAAAAACGGTCTTAAGAAATTGTAAAAAAACCGTCAAGAAAAACTAATTTTTTTTTTTTTTTTATATAATTTTCCCGCAGGCCCCAGCAGCGTCCCCAGGCCCAGCACTGGCGCCGGTCGCAGTTTCCCGTGCCCGGTTTGCGGCCGCGCCTTCGGTCGCCGCGAGACCCTGCGGCGCCACGAGCGCATCCACACGGGCGAGCGGCCGCACCAGTGCGGCCAGTGCGGCAAACGCTTCCGCGAGTCCTTCCACCTGCGCAAGCACCGCGTGGTTCACACCCGCGAGCGGCCCTACCGCTGCGAGCTGTGCGGAAAAGCCTTCGGCTACCCGCAGAGCCTCACCCGGCACCGCCAGATCCACCGCGCCGCCGAACCGGCACCGCCCGCACCGCCCGCACCGCCGGCCCCGCCGGGAATGGGCTGCGGGTCCTGCGGGCAGCGCTTCCCCGAGCTGCTGCGCGCCGTGGCCGGTAAGGAGGCGGCGGCGGAGAGGCCGCACGGTTGCCAGGCCTGCGGGCAGGTGGTCGGGTTTTTGGAGAGCCTGGTGTGGCAGCGCTTGGCGCGCTCGGCGGAGCGGGCGGGCGGAGAAACGGCGCGGCCGCCCGGGGAGCGCCCGGTACCGAGCGGGGCGCGGCGCTTCACCTGCGGCACCTGCGGGAGGAGCTTCAAAGGGTTCCTGGCGCTGGTGACGCACAGGTACGTGCACCTGGCCGGGCTGCGGCCGCTGCGCTGCTCGGCCTGCGGGCGGCGCTGCGCGGGCGCCCTGGAGCTGCTGCGGCACCGGCGGCGCCACCTGCGGCAGCGGCCGGCGCTGTGCCGGGCCTGCGGCCGCCGCTTCTGGGCCGGCTCGGTGCTGCGGCGGCACCGGCGGCGCTGCCCGGCCCCGTTCCGCTGCCGCTCCTGCGGCCGCTCCTTCCCGGCCGCCCGGCAGCTCAGGAAACACCGGGCCCGGCACCGGGAGCCGCCGCCGCGCTGCCCGCTCTGCGCCAAACGCTTCGCCCACGCCGCCGGCCTGGCCGAGCACCAGCGGCGGCACCGGCGGGCGAGGCCTCGGCGCTGCGGCACCTGCGGAGAGACGTTCCGGCTGCGGCGGGAGCTGCTGGAGCACCGGCGCGCTCACCTGGGCGAGGCCGTGTACAGGTGCGACAGGTGCGGCAAGAGCTTCTTCTACCTGGGCTCCATCGCGCGGCACCTGAGGGCGCACGAGCGGCGCCGGCGCTGCCCGCGGTGCCGCAGGAGATTCGGCGACGCCGCCGCGCTCAGGA